TATATAATTTATAAAAATAAATATTAATATATATGTTGTACACACTAAATTGAATTTAGATTATATCTCTGTATCTAGATTTAGTAAACTTTTTGTATTTATTGAATTTTTTGTCTTTCCTCTTTCTTTTATAATGTCTAATTATCTATTTTTTTAATTTTTATTATCTATTTTGAGTGCACAAAGTATAGTATACATTTATAAAGAACATTTATACATTTATAAAGAATAAATTTTCTTCTCTACATGATTATTTTTGTCTTTATAGCTACACGGAATTTCCTGAAGCTGTGCAAACTAAAGTACTACAACTGGAATCTTTTCCACTCAGTGCAAACCAACTTCATTGCACAGACCGGTGATCCCACTGGCACTGGAAAGGGTGGAAAGAGCATATATGGAATTGTATTGGGTGAGGAAGCCCGTTACTATGAGGCCGAACAGATGCCAAAGATCAAACATAGTCGTGTAGGTTTGTTGTCCATGGTAAATTGTGGGAACAACATGCTGGGCTCCCAGTTCTTCATCACGTTAGGATCAGAGCTGCAATCCTTGGACAATGAACACTGTGTGTTTGGAGAGATAACAGAAGGATTGGAAGTGATTCTCAAATTTAACGAGACTATCTGCGACGGAGATCAAAGGCCATATCAAGACATAAGGATATCTCATACCGTCATCTTGGAAGATCCGTTTGAAGATCCTGTGGGATTTGTAGTTCCGGATAGAAGTCCGGAACCTACAAAGGAAGCTCTAATGGTATGCATTTCAAAAATAAAAGAGCCTGCAATCCCATCATATTCTTTTTGATTTATTGATTTGATGAATATACATTTGATGTACTTTCATTGTCTGTCAAGATTATATTGAATAAGATAAAAAGGCACATAAAAGAGATATTAAATAAATTTGATCATAGTTGCTAGGCTAAATAAGTTAACAAACGTATTTCTTTTCATGCTTTTTACTTATTATAAGTGTAAGTTTTCAATATATTTTTTTAACAAATCTTTATCCTTGTTATCTTTATCCTTCTTTATCTGTTTTTTTTAATTCATATTTATTCATGTTTAGAGCGATAGAATTGGAGCAGATGAAGCAATTGACGATACCGGTGGCATGACCACGGAGGAGATCATGGAAATGCAAAAAAACAAGGAAGCAAAGGCGAGAGCCACGATATTAGAAATTGTGGGTGATATACCAGACGCGGATATTGCTCCGCCGGAAAACGTCTTGTTTGTCTGTAAATTAAATCCAGTCACGAACGATGATGATCTTGAAATTATCTTCAGTCGTTTCGGAAAAATTGTTGGGTATGTAATTTGCTTTTATATATACAGAAAAATATTATTCTATTGCTAAGAAAAAAATGAATACTTAATTTTTTTTCGTTAAAGTAATAGTATCTTTAACAAATAATATTTTCTGTATAATAATATTAAAATATACTTTTACTAAAATATATGTTATAAATTTTAAACAGAGAGAAAAGAGAAAAAGAAAATATTATTATGTATTGAAAACAAAATTATTTTTTTTTTTAATAAAATTTGATCAAAAAAGCGATTTTATATAATCAAATTTAATTTAATAATTTTGTGATTGGAAGAATAACAGATTTGAGGATATACGAACTTTTTAAATACTTGAAACAAGCAATTAATATTTTCTGTGTGTATTTCATTATTTTAATTACGTATTATAGGTTAACATTCTTGTTATCAATTAATTTTTTTTCTAACGTTTATATATTGAATTATATATTAAATTATTTGTATTTTTAAATTACTTGTATTTTTTAAAAAATCTATTTAAATATATTTCTAAGTCATTTGTTTAAAAAGCTCGAAATAAGTCACGATATCGTTAAATTATATTGCAATCATACGAGCCTATTTATTCTAATTTTAATTTTTTCTCATTTATTTTATTTGATATATCTTAATTTTTTTATTATAACTATACATTACATATTTTTATTAAATTTTATAATTCATTAATTTTGCAGTTGTGAAGTTATAAGAGACCATCAAACGGGCGACTCCTTGCAGTATGCATTCATCGAATTCGCGGATCGTAAGAGCTGCGAGGATGCATATTTCAAGATGGACAACGTTCTAATCGACGACCGAAGAATACATGTGGATTTCTCGCAATCAGTCGCGAAGATGCGTTGGCGTGGCAAGGGGAAAGGTATCCGGTATTTTGACGAGGACGACAAGCCGAAGAAACGCGAGGACAATTATTCGTCCTCAAGGAAATCTGATGTATCGCACAATAAGGATCATGACAACGATAAAAGTAAAGAGGAAGGAAAAAAAAAGGAGAATGATAAAGATCGTGGTTCCGAACACAGAAAGCACGAGCGCCGAAGAGAAGACAGAGATATCAGAGACAGAAGAAAAGAAGATAGATTATGTGATGACCATCATGAGAGAAATAAGTACGATAACGAGCGAAAAGATAAAAGAAGACGGGAGGAACGACGAGATAGGGATAGAAGTAATCAGAGGAGAGGTCATAGTGAAGACAGATCGGAAAGAAGAAACAAGAGGGAAGAGAACAATGACCGAAAAAGAGATCACAGCGAAGAAAGATTGGAAAGGAGAAGTAGAAGGGACGATGATAGGGAACGTCGGCATCGTGATAACGAGAGGAAAAGACTGGACGATGATGACGATACGAGACACAGAGACAGATACAGGCATAAAAGAAAACGATGAAAGAAAATAAGACATGAGAAGGCTAGAAAAGCATTAAGCTACGTATTCATTAAAGTAGGTCTGTCCTATTTTTATTAATTTAAGCTCCGGAATCAAAACGCAAATTCATCGACGCAAAAAATTCAATGTGAATAAAATTTCGAGGATTGTAAAGTATTAATATGTATTTAAGTGACGCTTATCAACACTTTATAGTTCTAAAATCCTATTAACATTGAATCTCTTTACGTTAATAGTTTTGCGTTTTTGCATCAGAAATCAAATTGGACAAACTGCACTAAAGGAACATAGAGTAGCATTTGCATTTCTATTGCCTGTTTCCATAAAAGTTTCATATTTCTCAATGTTCCTCGTCGCTAGGAACAGAAACATGAGATTAGATCTAGCTCTATATAGAAACAGGATTACATCTCATGAGTTTATTTGATGAAGACAAATTGTTTCAGTTGTCAGCAACAATAGACAATAAAAAATAAAAAGTTCCTCAATATTCTTTTGGTGGAGTTTAAGATATATTTAATAAGACCGTTATTCTTATATTTTTGAGAAATAAACATTGTAAATGTATCCAAAATGATAAACTATACTCCGTTCAACGAGAGAATAACTTCGGATCGATGAAAATTCGTCCATTTTGCGCAGGTGTTCATAGTGTTATACAGCGTTACATTGCCTGCTATGCGCAAACCGAGATCATTCTCTCGTTGAACAGAGTATAATCATCTTAAAACTTTACTTAAATCGATCTTGAAATGATTTCCTTCCTATTGTAAAAAAAAATAAATAAACGCACAGTTTACAAGAGGAGTTGTAATTCAAACATTTCTTTTTTTTACATCGAGTAAAATTGCCAGTATTCTTTCGAGTACAAAATATTGAGAAAAAAAACGTATTCGTTAAATCAATCAGCACAAAACGGAGCATCGATCGACGCACGCACTTTCTTCGCAGATTGATGGAGGCAATTTTCGCAAGGCCACAGAAAGTTCTACAGATTCTGTAATGGTAACAGCGCGTATGGTAAAGTTATCGAAACTACAGAACTTCATACGACAAAGTAGTAATCTCGACGGGACGTGACGCCGATAATCGCCGTAACAGGTATGACGATGAGTGATCAGAACTGATTATTGAACGGCCGTATAAAAAATAGAGAGCGAAAAACGATCGGGCGGCGTACCAAGTTCTGCCGCCCGATTTAAGCAGAATCACATTCTCTTTGCCCGGCGTACTTTCCCAAGTTCCGCTTTAAATATTATAGGAAACAACAAAATCATTACGTGGACATGCAGGTAACGAGTTGCGCAGCCCGCGGGCTCTCGCAGAACGTTCTTTTTTTTGTTTCTTTGGTGACGTCGCAATTTGGTATTTTGGATTCTTGCCCCGCAAAATATAAACAGTATCACTTCAATCATTATATTATTTCAATGTTATAATTTTTTCAACAATATAGATTAACAAAGGATTAGAGATTAACAAAGGAAATGTGAGGTGCAAATACTGATTTTAATGAAATTTTGTGTACAAATAGAATAAAAAAAATTTAGAAAATATCAATTGCGACGAAAAAACGGTTTGAAGGAATGAAATCACTCTTTTATAAGCAATTTTTACCTTTTTCGTTATATCTTAAAAATTATTTGAGATATCAAAAAATATTTTATACAAAAGTTTTATAATAAAAATAGCTGTATAATTTATATCGAATTATTTAAGCATTAAAGATCCGCTTGACTTTTTATTATCTATTCATTGTGTATTCACATTATGGTCTTACAAGATACTTTGTTTAATATTGTACTGTTTTCTTTGTAGAACTCATTAACTGACTGATGCTGTTTGCAGAAAGACAAGCATTCATTTACCTTCCTTTTATCTATCAAGCCACAGTTTCCTATAATTTAGTAAAAGACGTTCTTCAATATATCATAGAACTCTTTGGTTATGTTAAATTTATAGTATTGAGTGGAAAATTATAATATTTATGTAATATTAACTGTTTGTATTCTGCAGGGCAGATATAAGAAGGCACACTGGAGCCTCGCGATATCCTCGCTTCGTTCGTGTCTCTCCTCATGCGGTCGAGAGACGGGAAATGTTTCGAAAACGAAATTTATGAAGAAACGGAAGCCGATCGGTTGCGATTCGCAATTTTCGTGTTGCTGGATTAGGAAAAAGAAAGATCATTACCTACACGGCATCAGAAATAACATATATGCGCGCTTGCCTTACTATTCATTTGTCGTTGTTTTACGTATCACTCCCGAGAAGAGAAACGCGCATCTCGACTTTTATTCAAGAGCCTCCTTCGACAATTCCGAATTCTCGAGCTTTGCGATCTTTGTATCGCAGTTACCTTATAATGTCTATTTCTTTCTCTTTTCTTAAATAGAGAGCCCTATCTTAATTGCACGTATCGTAGCTACATCACAATCGGTCCGTATCCATACGTTACAAGTTTCGAAAGAAAATTTAGCTTAATTGCGCCGTATTACATGAAACGCTCTATAGGTATTCCGGGGAAGGGAAAACAGAACTATACATTAAGCGCGTACGCGTGCATATATTAGATAACTAATTTCCAATATGTAACACAAATAAATACGGTGAATTATATTAGGAGACATTTATGATACATAAGGTGATTCTGTAATTAGGTATTCTCTACTTCAGAGAATGAATTCAGAGGCCAAAAAAATATCATTCGAACATAGGTCATTCAAATTTTATTTTTCGAATATTTTTTTTGTAATTTTTTATAAAGTCTTTAATCATACGTATTTGCATTACAATTATTATTTCGAATAATTAAAAATTATGTATATTTATATATTTTTTTATCTTTTCTTTCAGAAAAATTATATAAAAGATTAAGCAAGAATTTAAAAAATTAATATAAAAAATTATTAAATTGCTAAATTTAATAAGTGATATTACTACTTTGGTTTTGTTTATGATTGCGTTTATTCTACAAGATATAATGACCTACATCTTACGTTAAATATTTCATGATAGAAAAGAAAATTGTGGAATCTTCAGGACTTAATATATTTTTTTTATTAATTAATAAAAAAATTAAAAGATTGATAGAAAAAATTTTAGTTAAAGAGAAATAAATTCATTTTTAAACTTTTTGAAGATGGCTTAATAATAACATACAATTAAGCATATAGCCACAACTCAATGTTTAAGAGATAAAATAATGTATTTCGAATTATGTTAAAAC